CCTGTCTCTTATACACATCATTTCCGGCCATCTAGAAGTCCCAATTTTTTTTTAAATCTTATTTTGGGAGGAGGGCACACCCCTTCCCATACCCCGCAGCTTGGACCTTTGGCCCTCAGATAATGCTGCGCGCTATAGTTACACCCATAAATACTAGTCCGACATCTTAGCCTCCCCCATAAATTATATCCTAGAGCCGCCATTGCATATAAGCCTACAATATGTATTGTAGACAAGCACGCTGTGAAAATGATTTCAGAATAATTAGTAGGTAATCTGGCAATTAGTTAAATGCAAGGTATAGTGGAAAAAGTACTCATAAAAATATAAGCACAAGAACCATTAAGATAGATTAAGTGTTAGTAGCACCTATTAACTAATCATAATTTGATTCTAATACGATCTCTGCTACCACAGCATCAACTGAATACTAAATAAATGATGGTAGGACAATACTCACTATTTTGGATATCAAGAATTATGTTAATTAATGTGGTAATTTACTCCATGTTATACAATATCATTATGTAGATATGTTAATATGTTAGTAACATGTATTTTTTATTATATTTTATCAGTATCTTTTTAGAACTCATTATATCTCCTCTTATTAATTCTTATACTTTACCGATTTAGAACATATTAATCTGCATATTACATGATACTTTAGTTATAAATGCTCTTGTTTCCTTAGTGATGTCTTTCTGATAGTGATGGACATGGCACCAATGGCTTCAAAGATTTTTTCCCAAAAGAGTGACGTTTGAATTAGTAAATTTGTTTTAGCCCGCAAGCAAAAAAGGAAGTGAACCAGACCGAACAACCTCAGTTGACACAACAGGTCTTTAACATGGCCTCATACATTTTTCTCAACTATCATTTAGCTGTCATTTTAATAAAGTAGACCTCTCTTTATTGATGATGATGATAATGAAGTATAAAGAAATTAAAAAGTAAGCAACTTTAAAGCAGCTTCTTGAACATGATTGCACAATAAATAAAACATAGGGGGCAGCAGAGTTATATTTACAAAAGAGCCGTAGATGGACTTAGGCCAACTCAATTTCACGCAGTTCTACTTACGCGTGTGTGATTGGGTGGATCATGTCCAACGTCACATGAATTACACCGGCCCTGTTGTTACGAAACAAAAATTACATTACTACTGAGAACCATTGACTGGTCCATTGGGATTGCTTCTACTACCTAAGAATCCAAGTCTTGCTAAAATCTACAAACTAACCCATCAAAAGCACATCCCATGTAAGTGTGATAGGTTTGAGTAAATGGCCTGAAATACAGTAGATGTGTATGTATTCTCAAGGAAAAATTGCAGATTTTTTATCAAATTTTTAGTTTCTGGGCATCTAGGAAAACAATTTTTAGAACAAAAGTCTCGCACCTACAAATTTTTTCTGCTTGGAATGTCTGTGTTAAGAAATCTCATTATAAAACCAGATCATGCAGGAGTGCCTTCTGCCAATTTAGGAACCCTGCTTATTACCTATTTAACATAATATAGTAATGTTCACTTGTAGCGTTTTGTTTTTTTATAATCAAAGTTTTTAAATCTTTGCAAAATCTCTTTGCTTAAATTTAAGAAAAATATTGCATTATATTATTGTAACATATTTTTGTTATATTTTTCACCTACAGTTTTACCTACTATCTCAAAAGGCCCAATGAATAGGTCTTCAAAGATGCGCCTCACAGAACGTTTCTACTGTACAGTGCACTCAAATTCACCGACAACAGTCAAATGGTATAAAGACGGGCAGCCATCACAATCGATTGTAGACACGGTAACCAATAACCTTGTTTTGTATGATGTGAAACTTGAAGATGCAGGGATTTATCAGTGCCTGGCAACCAATGAGGCTGGATCCGTTCAGAAGAGTGCTATGCTTGAAATTCAGAGTGGTAAAGTTGCATTTAAATTGTTAAGATATTTGTTTTTGGCACACTAATATACCCCTTTTACACTGCAAGCAAAACTCTGGACATAACCCAAGCTTTTGCAATAGACACTCCCAAGTTGTGGTTGGTGTAAACTTCAAAAAATACAGGCCGGGTTGCCAAACATCCCGGGATCAATGTGCGGGACGCATTCAACGTTGGACAACCCGTGTGCATTCCGGGATCACCAGTGTAAACAGCACCGAATTCGATTCCGGAGTTAGGCCTTACCTGGCGCCTACAGCAACTGTGGTCAGGTAGGCCTAAACTTTGCTAGCAACGGGCTAGGCCTAGACACTTTTCAAATTAAACCCCCTGCGCTCCTGTATAGACTAAACTCCCGAGTTGTGGTTGACTCTGGTATAAACTTGATATCAAAACTGCTGATTTAATTTGCATAATTTAAAAACAACCTGCATATTAATTCCTTAAATATTGACAATAAATACGGCTACGTCTCGACGAGGAACTCGAGTGAAGTGATGATCGCAATCGCAACAAAAGTTGAGGGCAGTTGTGGAACAAGTTCGTTGCCGGTGTAAAATGGGAGCAACTTGATGTAAATGGGAAATGTACCCGGGATTACTCCGGAATTAACACTGGGTTATTTTGCACTTGACAGTGTAAAAGGGGTAATATTTAGTTCGGTCTGTTCAGCTCGAGACAGTGTCTCATTCTTAGTCCTGCCTATTTTGCTTGTTGTGTTGTTTGGCAAAATAATTTATTCTCAGTGCCAGATTCTTTTTTTGAGGGTCCTACATTAGGGCCATATACAGGATTGCCATTGGGGAGGTGCAGCGGTGTGCAAAGATGGACCAACTGGGGTCAGGAAGGTTGGATCATTTGATTTTCCATTTCTATGGCAACATTAATGCTCAAATACTTTTTTCACACGCATCCTCTGGTGATCATTAAAACAATATGTTTGCTGAACAAGGTATAAAAAAATCTTGTGTAAAGATTTCTGAATCCCTATTAATCTTAATTTCACAAAAAATAATTTTTATATTTGCAGTACATTTGGACTGTCCTAAAAATGTGGACCTTTTCTGATTTGGGGGTGGGAGGATGCATTTGCATCCATTGCACCACTGGTTATGGGCCTGCTACATACATACTAAAATATTTAATTTAGTTTTTTTTAAACTTTTTATTTAAGCACATGTGCCAACAATTGCCAATTAGCAAATTTAATCATGTGAAGGTAAAGGTAGGAGAATAACCCATAACTCGCAGCTTCATTGTGTTAAAAATTGTGTATGGGCGTGGTCTATGACTACCTAGTGGTCGTAAAGAGGCGCTTAAAGTAACTACAGTACATGTTCACATAATTCCACAACAACAGGGTCTGAAATGAACCATAGTATTGTATCCACCCCTGATTGGGGGTACTCATGATCCCCCTCCCCTATTTGCGGGCGTCTGATTTTCTTATGGTTCTTCTTGCTCATTTGAGTATTGTCTCAGTTATGTTTGATTATGTCATTATTTCTAGCAGCAAGCATTCCATCTGCACCTTTCAGTGTTCGTGGAATATCTACCACACCATCCCAGATCATGGTAATGTGCTTGGTTAACGGGGAAATGCAGGAAGATATCATCGCTACCACTATTAATGTACAATCAGTAGACGGTAAATATTGTATAGTATATTTATTCTTTTTACAAAAAAAGCTTTGTAGTTTTTTGTGAGCTATTTTAATAAAAGCGTGTGGCATCGCATTAGGGTTTGGATATCCAAACTGAAGGTCGATAGTTCCAAACTATTGTTGATTACTGTGTATGTTTTTGGGTAATGCACTTTTATTTCAAACACTATAAAGCAACCCCAAATAACATATAATGAGGCCACTGTAAAGATATTGTATAGGAAAATACAAATAGTAGATGTGAAATAACACTTGTACCTTATAAATACATGCATGATAACATTAGGGAGTAAAAGTATGTTAAAAATATACTATGAAAAAATCTGGAAACATGCCAAAGAATTAAATTAAAATATTAAATGAGAATTTGCACAGAACAAATCTGAAGACTAATCATTAGCGCTAAAACCCCTCAAATACTTTAAAGTTTATTTTTCATTGTCTTATCTGTTTTTATATATAACTTATAACTGTCATATCTGAGTTTCACATAGCTTTCTTATTTCTTAACATAATAAAATAATAAAAGTAACATAAATCAAAGATATTTTTCCTGCTGTCCTTAGCTGTCATCTCTTATCTTCTTTATCTGCCTGCCAGTGTGTGAACTTGCTAATACTGTATGTTAGATATTAGATATGCATGTAAACTGTACTGTATATGAGAGAGGATTATTAAATATATAATTTTGTCTGTACAAAAATTGTTCAAGATTAGTTATGTAAATATAAATAATGATTATTGTTTTCAGCAGACGTATCAGAGCTACATGAATTAGTAGAGCCCAGTTTTTTTCATACGTACTTTGTATCGGACTTGAAGCCATACACAAATTACTCCGTCTATTTACAAGTGTTCACAAGGATGAGCTCTAGCTTACCATCTACTATGATATATGTCTTAACAAATGAAGCAGGTAAGGGCAATAACCTCTGACTCCTCTTACTGTCCTTAAAGTTATAATGAGTATGGAGTGACTAGGTGAATAAAAATTAATGAATTTTAAAATGTTTTATTGCTGTTACAAATTACATTACATTCATCTTTTTCAGTCTTTTTATTTTTCTGGTATACAGGGTTCACACTTAAAATACAATTCAAATTCCATTACCCTAATCCAAAAGATTTAAGGTAATAAAGTGAAAAAAATGTAATTAATTGATTAATTTTTCCCCTTGGAATTGTATACTAGCATTAAACAAATGAGCCTAATCTAGGCTGGTATACAGCATGTATAGAATGGATGTGTGTAATATCCATTTTTTCATATAATATGTATGTGTTGTGTAATAGGCTAGATTGTTTTTATGCCATGACCTCTGACATAAGCATGCACAGTTGAATCTATAAGATGTCTTATGTTTTGCCAATTCTTCCAAATTGTATTAAAGTAATGAAATGAAAGAGTTCAGAAATGGTTCAGAATCAAAATCTCATGTGATTTATCAAATGACTAGGCCTATGCAAAATGAATTGACATCAAAAAGAACCCTAATACATTCTCTTGTGGCCTGTAACTGCTGTTGTATAATGAACATCTGTGAAATATCTATTAATGGTATATGTATATTAATGAAGCATATAAATATCATAGTGCATTTTACATTTCCCATGTGAGTTGAAAACTAATATCTGTTATTAGTCAGTGGTGATGTCATCACTTTTATTTGAACTGAATTTTCCTATTCCCGACTGATCACTAATCTATATAATGCCTACAATTTCTTGCATCTTGTGTGCAAAGAAACTCAAAGCAGATCTTACTACAGCACATCACAGTGGAGTATTTCGTCGCTAGGCCAAGCTATGAACACACACAACTAACCTAGCAAATCTCTTTGCAGAGCTGGTTAACACAAATGAAGCCTAGACCATCCTAGGCAAGGCCTAGAAATCCATAATAGCTGAGATAACAAGGTGATTGACTTATGAAAGAATTGAAAAAATAAAGCAATGCTGAAGTAATTCATAATAATGTTTACAATACATTTCAGTCTATTAAAAAAATGTCTATCAGGAGGTTAGTCCTACCTTAATAGCCACTAATAAACTTCATTAACCATCAATGTATTCATCTTCGCACCACTGTGAAGGTAAAATTTTGGCTTGCGTGAAACAGTTACAAGATTGTGTTGGAAAGGAGGCGTAGTCTAAAGACAAATATACTCACCTTAATCACAAAATTCCAGTACAATTTGCTTTTAATGAATTGGAAGCAAGTTGGCACAGTAGTTAAGGCTCTGACTCTTAACCTCCTGGCCAGAGGTTCCAAAGTCTCACTGTGCAAGTCCCTTGTGTCCTTGGGCAAGACACTTTATCTGCGTTAGTCTCTCTCTACCCAGGAGTATAAATGGGTACCAGCATTTGCTGTCAGGTGGAGTGGCGATTCCCTCAAAGCATTGTACAGTCTGGCCTCAACGCTTAAGAAAGAAGGATCACTGGTGTAACTGCCGCCGGTTCAGTAGGTTCATTGAACCTGGGTGCCCGAACTCCAGGGGCCCCGATTTATTAATGGCCCCACCTCCTTACACAACAATTCAACAACAATAACAACAACAATACATTTGATACAAAATTTATAGAGACAATTAAAAATAGTATATTATTGCTGAAGAAAAGGAGACACTTAAAACTCCTGCGAGCTTAGCATGCAGTGTTCCTTCATAAAATCATAAGTTAAAGTATAAAATCAATTTGTCATTACACTTAAACTACAGGACACTTAACTACCAAAAAAATACAATTTGTAAGATAAAACAATAGTCGTGTGTAAAATTATTTGTATAAAAAAATCTAATAAAGTAATGTTTATTTTGACATTTAACTATTTGGTTCCTTCCAGCCAAGTAATTTTGGAACCACAATAACTCATTTCATTTACATCCATAGTTTTCAATTTTTTTTCTAGTAGTAATATATGATTCATTGTGTCAAAACAATGTGCGATATCGATAAAGTATGTGTATCATTTCGCAGCCATTAATAGATTCTAGTAGCCAATCATCTATTACACGGTGAAGGTTTGGTTAACATTTATTTTATGTGATCATTTTCATTGAGATATGTAATAATTTGATCTTGAACAAATTATTCAACAATTTTAACAATGTGGCATACCACTGAGATTGGTCTATAATTGTTAGAGCTTTGTTTGTTATCTTTACCTTTGTATATAAGGTAGTCATTGAGACTTTACAATCGTCTGGAACCATACCATTCATTAATGATTTATAATGGAATAAACATAGTGATTTTGTGATATAGCATAATGCGAGCCTATTATCAAAATTATTAACATCAATGTTACTATTTTTAGATAAACATGCCAGATTCTTTTCAATATCGCCAGATACAAGGGCTGTAAAATTTAGGGTGTGATTACAATCATATTCCTGATGATGACATTAATGTCAAAATATTTAATCCCAACATGATGGCGTGCCTTTCAAAACTTGGAGTATGATGTATACTTTCCAATACAATTTGAATTTTTTTCATTCTGTTTTGTTTTCTTTAATTGAGTTTTTTGTTCCTATGTTACTCAAATAATCACTAAAAGGCTCACAATCAAGATTTTGATGATAAGTATTTCATCCCCAAACGTTTGGAATCGTGTTTATATTGGTTTTCAACTGATAAAACATAATCTGATATGGATTTTCAAATTGTACTCATGCATTTGTTTCTAAGTGAACAATATTTATTAAAAGGTGTTTTGCTGCCATGTTTATCAGATTAGTTTTTTTCATAATCACGGTCATACTGTACGTAAGTCTAATGATGTCTGGTGTGATCCATTTAATTTTATTTAGCTTAACTATATAAAACTAATATAAAAGATAATTGTTGACATTGTACAATGATTAATCCAATACTTAAAATACACCATCTCAGTAAATGTTTTTTTTTTTTTTTAGTCATAAAGAAGTAAAAATGCTTATCATTATTTTCAGTCCAGCAAATAGATAGCTCTTCAAAGATGCCCTCTAAGAACACCTAAAAATTAAAGATAAAAAAATCAGAGGGACCCCTGCTGTTAACCTCATCAGTGATATACACATCTTAGTTGACATGGTCAGTCAATTTGAATGCGACAAAGGGCCCTGACTGTACTCTTGAACCAGGGCCCCTCACAACATAGTTACGTCACTAAAGCCTGGTTCATGTCGAACTTTATCTAGATATACCCGTCTTGAAACATGATACGATAATCTCTTAATTGCGTTCGATGCCAAGTTAGAGCCAGATAAACAGCCATCCAGTTTCAGGCCGTCGACGTCACACGGTGGAAAGGCTTGTTTAATAAAACATCTACTGTATTTTACGAACCTCTAGTACCAAGTGGTATTCGTTCCAAAAAAAATTGTAAACTACTGTAGAGAAGGTGTGAGTTTCCACTACCTAACCTAGCTGACCAGTACGAACCAACGACAGTGCAGCAGCGTGGTTCTATCGCAATCTAAGTAGTAGATTCTCTAGGCCCTAGCTACATTTACCTTCGATAAAAAAAGAATTATTTTAATCGCTAGCTAGCATTCTTCCATTTAACAAAATATTGTTATAATTTTCATTAAAACGTATGTATACTTTATGGACCTTTCTGTCCTGTTTTGTAGTTTTTAGATCGCTCAATTGTGTTGTTTACATGCACTTCGCGAAAATGTAGCTTCGCGTTGTCAAATAAGTTGCTGACTTCCACACACTTTTTTATTTCGTCATCGTAAACATGTGAGCTCATTAACGACTGCCGTTGGTGGTAGTTCGTTGAAACTGAATTAATAGCGACTATTATAGCAGAAATGGAAAAGATTGAATTGTCAATACATACAACAAATCTGATTTTATTATTAAGAAAAATATACATTATCACTTTGACAAACATACGCAAAAGGACTTTTTAACGTTATTACTTGGTCGATGATGCAAAGGGCAAAGGTCATTGGTAATATCGACTATTCGTAAAACGGACGTTTGCTGGGTTTTTACCCATAATATTACAAATAATTTCTGAAAACCAGACCTATGAGACTACTTCGATGCTGCTGTTAGCATTGTTGAAGCACCTTGTTGCCAGCCAGAAGATGATAATGGTGGTACAATACAACAACGCTGGCTTAGGTGCAGGCGTTACGTAATCGTGTCCTTGTAATCCGAGCCGACTTTACCGTTAAGCAAGTTAATTTACCGTTATTCTAGTAAAGTTAAGTCACTTAACTTAAGTGACTTAATTCCTTTATCTAGCTATAATCGAGTGGTTCACGTCGAACTTTTAACTAGTTAAGTGGATGTATATCTAGATAAAAGTTCGACATGAACCAGGCTTAAGAGGGATGGGTGCTCAGGACCTGTACAAGTTCTTCCTTTAACTATCTTTTGTAATGAATATCTTATAATTATCAAACTTTCTGATAAAAATGAAAACTAAAATACCAATAAATTCTTCATGATTTTGAATCTTGTATATCCCTTTTGAATGTGGAAATATCAACTGAATATCTAATTGGTTTTTTTTTGGTTTTTTTTTTTGAAGTTCTGTTTATTTTGATATATTTTGTAAATTATAACATAAACAAAGAAGTGGACAAATAAATATGTAAAATGATTTTAGAATTGATAGTATAATAATAATGGAATGAATATTAAAAATTAGATAACAAAAAATTATCCAAAAGTTGCATAGTAAAGATATACAATTTCTGTTTTCCGATTTGTAACTGGTAATGTTGCAAATAAAACTGTTAATAGACTTAATCTTGAAGCGAGTTTACATCAGGAAAATATCATAGGAGTGATATTTTACTCTACATTATTTTTAAATTTTTTCTGTGAAGCAAATGTTATTAAAAAAAAAAAAAAATTCAGAAATATTTATTGAATCCTGAATGAATTATTTCCTCTGATCTCTGAAATCTTTTATAAATTTAGTTCACTAAACAAGGTACAGGTATTAAAAAAGGTTTCATCAATTGTGATATTTTGAGCAATATTGCATCATTGGACACTTTACTACTGACTAAATTACAAAATAGGTTTGTGTTGTAAGCACCATTATATGCTAATGTACAAAGTTGTCCTGCCAAAGATTGCCAGAAGCAAACGAATATATAACATATGTATAAATTTTGGCTGAAGTCCCGTGATAGGTCCTTTCGTAATAAAATCTTTCATAACAGCCAGTGGTTTCAGGGTAATCATATGCAACCGGAAATGCTGCGTTGAGAGAATGTGTAGGCAATTGACAATGTTCTGTACCTAAATTTAGCAGATTTGTTAGTGGTGACCCAATGCAAACTGGATAAAAAACTTTTCAAATTCAGATCACAATAATATGACATATATAAGTATGGATTCATGGGATTATATGTATTGACTGTCAACATGGACAAATAAAAGGCACATTTGCCAAATGCATGTGAAAAAAGTATTTGTAGTTTTTTTAAACTTGATTCTACTAATGTTGGAGAAACCAACACACTTAAATAGGATCCCCTTATTCTTTTTAGATTCAAATATATTCCCTATGTACACCAGTAATATTTTTAGTTTGGAATGATTCATAGTGGAACTAAACTACAGTATATGAATGTTTGAATGTTTATACTGTATGCCTATTTGAATGATTTTTGAAGGTTTGTGGAAACCATATTTTTACACATGGTGTTCCAAAAATGTTATAATTTGTATGTTCATATCATGCTATATAGACCTACTAATGAGGCAAAATAGCATTAATTATAAACAATTTCAAATTCAGTAAAAGACATTTCTGAATGCAGGAAAGCACTTTTCTTGTCATCTACAAATAAACTTTTTCAGGGAGAATCTGTTTACCCACACATCTTACAGTACACCACCCTTTGAATTATGCACCAGTTCTTTCCTATGAAATAATGAAGGCTAAACCTGCTTCTCTATGTTGCCTCACTGTATGAGTGAGTGAGTTTCAAACATAGTGTTGTTATTAACAATATTTCAGGTTTCCAACAGTGTTTTGATATTAACTTTATCCAAAATTTAAATCATAGAAGTATACGTTTCATACATACATATTTGAAATTCAATAAATCTAGGTGTTGGTAATTGGAAGTTATTTTTACAATTAAGAAACTTGTTGTAGCACTGAAATCCTGTCATAGAAATTCTAAATATCATATCCTTTTCCCAAACTTAGCCTGTCTTAAATCCATGTTGGCAGTCATTGAACCACAGATATATAATCCTGTTGGACCATCCTCTCCACAGAGCCAGCCAGATATCCGGATTTCAAGCTGTCCAGTTCACATCCGTTGAGCATAGATGTGTCTTGGGAACCAATTGCAAGAGACCAATGCAATGGCATTATCACCAAATACAAGATAGTTTACAAGCAAAGGTCTACCTCACCTAAGGAAATAATAGTGAACTCAACCAGACTGCGTGCTACTATTACAGGCCTTCAACCAGACACACAGTACAACATACAAATGGCAGCGGCAACCAGAGCAGGCTACGGACCACTCTCAGACTGGACTCAATTCCGTACTATTGATAGCCGTAAGTGGTAGTTGCCCTATGTTGAAGGGGTATCCCTAGCCTTGAGTAGGTCATTATATGTCAGATTCTGTAATTCAACATGATTTTGCTCTAAAACCATTCACCAGTATCTTCTGATTATTTTCTCCAGATTCAGGTAACATCCCAGACATTGGCCATTCTTCAGACTGTGGGGGGGGGGGGGGCGTTGCAGGCATTTCCTACTTAAATCAGAAAGTCTAGGATCTAGCACCTAAAACCATAGGGAAATTTCAGCCCATTTTAAGCTGTTGTTTTAGAACATACAGTACTATGCCAAAAGAAATTTAAACAGAAAGAAATTTTCTTTTTTGGTCTGACGTGTTATGACCAGGGGGGATGGTTACACTAGGCCTATCTGATGGGAAGCTCAAGTGCCTACCTCCCTGGTGCTACCACTACCTTGGATCTGAGTCATTCCTCAGGCCTGTTCTTAGTTTTTGGTCATTCTTCAAGCCTTTTAGAGCTTGGTCGTTTCTCAGACAATCCAAAGAACTTAATCATTCTCCAAGATCTTTGTCATTCTCTTGGACCTTTTCTAATTCTATCAGATCAGTTATTCAACAGAAGTTAGCCATCTTCAAAATGTTTATCATGCCTTTCCCAGACCAACACTTCAGTCATTTAAGACCTTGGCCATTCCTATCACTTCGTTGTTATTTATAATCAGTTAATGTATGTTTCAAAAGTTAATTTAACGGTATATGAAACATTCAGCAAATTAGATTTTTTTTAAATATAAATGACTTTAAATTTTTGGTCTAATCATCTAAATTCCATATATTAACATTTCAAATTAAAAAAATTGAAGTGAAAAACAACGGACAAATCTTGAAATTATTTGTGTAAATAAATATTTACATTAAGTTTGTTGGGTTACTGTTGTATATGAATATATTTGGTGATGAGAACATAGATAATAAATGACATTTAGTTTCACATCAATGTCATATGTATTTTACATATGATATGAGAGCAGGTTTATTAGGCTGTATGTCCTATAGGTCAACATGTGTAGTCTTGCAGATCAGCATTTGTCACCCTGTAGGTCAAGCTATGTTGGCCTACTTTTTCAACAAGTTTACCTGCCAATTAGAAAATATATTAAATTATTAAATCAATCAGTACACTTTCATTACAGATTTTCAAATCTGTAGCATGAATAAGTATACTACAGCCCAACCAAGAAGAAAATACCTATAATATGGCGTACCACTATAACTTATTAATATAATTTAATCTAATGTTTCTAGATATAAATAGTATAATATATTAATTAATAATAATAGATTAATAAGATTACTTATCAATTAAAACAAAATTTATAAGGTAATCACATTCACTATTCTCTTTCCCCACAAAATTATAGAAAAACTCCGGCCTGCAGGAGTTTTAGAAACTATGTGAACATCAGTTGCCATTAAAATGAATTGTTATTGCTACGAAGCAGCCAATTCATATTCTTGACAGCAATTTGACCTCTGAAAGGTCATTGTTTGTCAAAACACAAGGGCCTAAGACGACTGAAAAGCGGAGTTTCCTTCTTTCGTTCTGCCTGGTAAAATCAATTACTTTAGGCGACGTTTGTAGACTAATTAACACGTACCAACGTCCGCATGTCGCGCTAGCCTTATCCTACTCTAGGCCTAGACTAGCTAGGATGGTATAGGCCTAGCCTTGAAGGGACGAAGGTCCCAATGAAAAACAATGTCACTCCTTGATAGCTAACATTGTCTATTTAACATCACAGTAATTCATTATTAGACCTATATTTGTTTTTTGAATTGTACTCCACAAATCTCAGCCGATACCTCACACAACTCAAGTAACGTTTCTCGTATCTATTGTCGTGACATCATGACTCGCTGGCTCACACTTGCGATGCCTCACACTTGTGATCAAATGACACGCTGGCTCGCACTTTGGCAACACTCTTTGGCAGTCAACTCACCCCTAGAAAACCTGCCTTTGGAAACTTGCCCCATAAAAAAATGTACACTTCCTAGACCATGCAGTCTTCAAAATAAAAATTGTAACCTTTGGTAATCAACTACATTTTCCACATACATTTTTTGAAACTTTATTAAAAAAAACCTAAACCATAATTCACTACTATAGACACTTTTTGACAAAAAGGAAAAATTACGACTTTGTTACCCAATGAGAAGTGTTCTAATATAGACAATGGGTCGTGTCTCATATTATTTGTTATATTTTTATTATTCATTATTTTCACTTGACTCGCATAAATAATTTTGTTCGAAGAACATTTATATGCAGTTGTACTTCGCAGCACTTCACTTGCAATTTGCAATTTCTAGTTTATAAATATCACCAGTCGCTGGAGAAACACTGACAACAACCAGGAAATTGAGTCACATGATTCAGCTAATGCCCTCTCAACTCATGTTTCTGTACTTCAACTTAAAGAGCCTGGTGCAGTACCAAATTTAGTTTCTATTTTTGCTTTAATCAAAAGCATGTATCTATTTTGAATCATATTACTTCAAATTATCGCACATTTGATTAGTTGACAATTGGTTTAACAAAATGTTTGCACATACTTATCAATTTGAGTTGATAAAAGGTACTCCTTTTCAACTGTATGCAAGTGAATTGTATACCCAGTCTAGATACTGTATCTGTAATGACCTAGATATCTGTAGTGACCTAAACATCTTGAAAAATATTTTACCGCTCATTTTGTTTGGCAATTAAGTTCTTACTTTGTACAAAAATACTAGAAACACACAAGATAGAACTCTCCACAGAAAAAAACTGTATCACCAAATTGCATCGCAGGTAACCTGTACAAACGTACAGTAAGTTGGTTTATACCCAGTTGTATGTGGCGCCAAATTAAATGAGGTGCTGCGTATGTCTGGATCTGGTCTGGATATAAACTTAAATAAATTGGCATTATTGGAAACAGCAGGGTGATGCGTACGTCTGGATCTGTGTAAAAGAGTATATCTGCTGCACTTTTGCTATGCAAAAGTTCTATCTTATGTTTCTAGTATCTTTGCGTTGTATATTTAATCAAGTTCGCTTTCAATAAAATAGAAATGGACACTCATTTAACTTATCAATCCTAATTAGGCTTTTACCCAGAATTTCTTAAGGTAACCTACTGTAGTTACCCTGGTTGGGACTGAATGTAGAACCAACAAACCTTTAACTGAAGCATTTCAGCATGTCAGTGGTAAATGTCACCATTTTGTTGGTGTCTGTTGCAAGTGGAAAATAGGGCATGGTCAAATCATACTAAATTGTGTGCTTAATTAAAAGCTTGTTGAATACTGATAGTGACTCAGTTTGATTGTTTTATTCTAATCCTGTCAAATTAGATGCAAATTTTGCAAGAATCTTTTTAGCTGCCGATATTAGAACGTCAATCGATGATGTAATAAATTTGCCTTAAGATTAACGACTGCAGGCAATATTAGAATGTCAGTAAGATAATATGACAGATTTTCTTCTCTGGCTTAAGCTCAATGACCGGTCAAATCATACTCTTCTTAAAGTATTTAAATTATTAAATACAACTATCTCTCTTGTACATTCATTTTCATACACTTTTCAAACGAGAGCTGCACCCTTTTCAAAATGCTCATGAACCTTAAAAACGATTTGTTATATTATTACATGTTATTGGTTTCCATAATACTAGGGCTTCCATGCTAAGGCCGTGCAAGTCACTATGCGGTTATAACCTGTATATAAAGAGAGCTCAACTTTAATTATGTATAAAGCAAGTTTTCAGTACCGCCGTAGCTGAGGAATAGAATTTGTAGGTTGCTGGTGATACTATGTGTGATTGTTGGTTGTACCAGTTGTCCAAATGCCAAATGGTCATAGCATTAAACTTTGCTTCCTGCCAGCTGTATTTTGACATCAAAATGTTAGACAGATGTGAGGACACAAAAGCCAAAGAGAATTAGAGCCTTCAAACTATTTGAATTAGGGTCACGACCACATTTTATTCAGCCTCTATTTAGAACAGTTTAATGTGCTGGAGGTTAGGGTTAACACTGGTCGATATCCAACTTTGTGGTATAATTTAATTTAGTGTACGCATTGTTTGTTCAGTTTTCAAAAAATTTTTGATTTGTTTGTCCCATGTCAAATCATTCTTTTTTTTTTCTCTTAATATAATATATACAGTAGGATATATAACCTCAGGTCTTGGCTTGCAAGGTGACAAAATGTACATTAAAACAGAGAAAATTTTAAACTGTATACTCCTGTGGAGAGTAGCTTGAGGCCTACTCTATGGATAGTTAGCCCACTCTGATGAAATTCTTGCACAACATAGAACCTATTGCTACTACTTTAATCATAAATATTCTAACAAGAAATCAATAGTACAAAGGTAAACAAATCAAACTTTAAACCAGTTGCACATTATTAATTCTTGAATATTAATAGTATATTTTTAACATTTCTAATAATGGTAAATATATTTAGTGTTCATGTCTAGATTACACAAAACAACTTGTTTTCTTCCGTACAAGTATAATATAAATGAAATTAATTGTGACAGCACTTTCCACAGTTGGGCAATATCTTCACATTGGATAATGTCAAATGTGTGCCAAAAACAAATTCCGCCTACTCTTTTTGAAATGTCATAGTCCTCTGTCCTTTTTAATCCTACGCATCTTTTAACCCAGTTTTGTTATACATCATTTTGGCTCTACATGATGACACCCATGTCCAACTAAAGTGAGGAAGACAAAAAATAATGTGTATTAATAAAATTCAGACATTCTGGATTTGCGGGAGATAGGTTAGTGTCGTGCGAGTTTTATTCTCGTGCTGACTTCCAGTGACTCTCACAACTCACAAGGGACCTGGGACCCTTGGATATTTAAATCAGTAGATGGAACCAATGACCTAGGCTGATATGTTGACAGATAGACATTGCTTATTGTCTTCATTTTACAGTATTATTATCATATTTAAAATGTTGTTTATTATCTAAAAACAACAAAATTCAACATATTGTAGGCCTAATCTTACCGTCCGATTAAACGCAATCACGATCGTATCGTGTTCACTACTGACAAGTACTGTACAAGATAGTATACAATTTTGTATATAATCATTTTAAGAATATCAGATCGTGAAGAATGTTCTTTAAGTATAAAGATCAAACCCTAAGGAATATAGGAGCTCTGTTGTTTATCATTTTAAATGTCGAGGTTGTAATAGTGATTATATTGGTAAGACTGATAGATGCTTATCTGATAGTGTTATAAATGATCATATACAAAATTGAGAGGTATTTCAATATGTTTTAGGTTTACAAGGTATATTTGAAAATGATAATGTAGCCTGTAATAAAAGTAATAAATTAGGTTTAATATTTTCTAATACTAACATTATTGACAGTTCACAAAATTGGTCTATACTATTGTTTAAAGAAGCGTTTGCTATTACGTAGACTACACCCATTGCTTAACAATGGGCTGAAAGCTTCAAATGGGCTTTCTTTGTTTTTGTAGGTAGCTTTAATCAGTAGGGTGAGAATGCTTTGATCTTGAATTTATTCATAGCTATGTCACCTACTAGGGGTAATGTTTTGATTGGTCAAACACTTTTGGTACTTGTGCGTATAGGCTTGCAAATATGGATAATTTTTCATTCCTGATGATGACATAATTAATGTTGAAATATTGAATCCCGACACGATGGCGTGCATTTCGATACTTGGAGTATGTATTATACTATCTGATCTGAGATTAATCAGTGGACCTTTCGGTTTTAAGTACTGTACATGTGTGGAAAATCCCTGATAAATTCTCCAAGGTCGGCAAAAATTAAATTTAACAATACACATAAATGTATATGATCAAAACAATTCAGTTCTACAGATTAACATCTTTTTACTGTGAAAGTCTTTAATTTAAAAAAAATTTTTTTTTTTGTATTTAGGTTTTAAGCTTCTCATCTTCTATTTTTTTCCCTCCCATATCACAGTGACAGCATTATCCCCAGATGTTCAATTTTATAACGTCACAAACTCTTCAGTGACGTTAAGCTGGAAGCAAACTGGGCTCATTAACATCAAGGGATTTAATGTGAACGTCAGTGTACCCAAGCAAGACAAGGTGCTCCTCCAGTACATGCTGCCTCCTCAAACTCAGGAATATGTCATCAATGCACTACGTAAGTAGACGCCATAAAAGATTAGGATATTCACAGAATGAGCTTAACTCTACTCATATTAACATAGAAAAGACCTGTGGTGACCATAACTATATATTTAATGTGAACAATATATACAACAGTAATTATAGTCAAATACTAGAGTAGGCACTTGGTAAAGTGCATACCTCTTCTCTGGCTCTGAATACAGAATCATTAAGGAAAAAAACCTATAATTTTACTCTCTTAACCAGAGGCAGATTCAGAGATGCCCCAACCAGCCCAGGCCCACTAAAATTTTGAAGAATTCAAATTGAAAATTTAAAAAAAATTTTAAAATAGCAGAAAATTGCATTCAAATTTAGGTTTGACGGTGCCATTTCTAGCCATCAAGATGTGCTATTGACATAAATTTTGTACCTCTCAGTCCAAACCATGGTGAGGCTAAGATGTCTGGACCCTCCATCTAATTTTGAGATAGTTTTTCATATACTTATCACCAACAAACAATTGATGGTGAATACAAAACCTGTGGGTGGAGGATGCAGAAAAGCTGCGAATCCAATTCCTGAATAGATTCCTATTGATCTTTGACATTTTTTTTTCAAATACAAAACACTAGTATTTGACAGATATGTTGTGGCTACTATATTAAATATTGCTGTTCTGATTATGCAGTAATCTGTATGCATTAACGAGGTAAATATTACATAGATGGCATACTCCTATATTTCTTTATAGTTCACTGCCTGGCTGTAACCTCCATTCATAAGGGGTTTCCCCTAATTTTCACCAAGCACTTGAATTAATCTTCATAATCTTGTTTTGATTGCTTTTGCTGCAACAATTATAGTTGTTTTTCTAATTGCTCTTCTCTTTCAATCAACAGAAAATTGGGAGGTACATTTTAAAGGGTGGGGTTGGCTAAGGTTGCATTTAATTTACACATTTTTCTTAGATTTTTTGACATTTTTAGTCATGCAGTTTTATTCAGTTTACATCAATTAAACACATGTAACGAAGTCATAACTTTTTGCTACTTTAATAATCTTGATTTTCAACTTTTTACATTCTGTAATGTTACGATACGACATTGCTTATCAGCGTGAACACATTTGGATTACTTTAGAAGGATTTTTGCAGTTTCAATTACTTGTTTAGTTTGCAAAAGCAAGTACTGTAATGATAAAAACATGCAAATGGTTTATTGTATATATTGTTTTTGTCGACATCTAGGCCCTCTCCCTTAATTTGCTGTAGGTCTGTAAGATTCAAGATTATCATCAACCAAACATGTGATAAATGAAATTCTTTTTGCTTGCTGCCTACTGTGAAGACATGGAAGACCATATAAGGCAAATAAATATTTAAAAACATTGAAAAAAACAACAAATGGATACAATACGAAAATTATTGTACTTCTCGGCTAAAGTTATTACCTGGCAAACCTATCATTGAATTCATGGATAGCATTGACTATGAACTATAGTATAGTATAGTGTAGTATAGTTTATTGAATATAGAACATATGACTATAGTGAGTTTTATAATGGTAGTAGTAGCAGTTGTTTTATTCAAATGGTTGCTTCTTAGAACTCAAGTAGAACACAATATCCAGAAATGATATAGGAGCTCAGAGAATGTAGTCCAAATCATGGTGACCTTATTGAAGATATGTTCTTGGCTTGAAATTCATATTTTTACCAGATCCTTTGGGTCATTGTGGTTTTGGTTATTTGCCAGACTTCAAATATATTTCGTTATTAATTTATTGTGGTTAAATTTTATGTGAATTGATGGTGGCGTAAGTGCAGAATAAATATATATCTTATATCCTTCCTCATCTTTTTGGTGGAGGTAGGGAAGTCTAATTTTTTTTTTTTTCTTATTACAAGGAAAAACACACTCATAATTAAATAAATGTCTTCTTTTATATTTGTGGATTATAAAAGTTATGGAAAGAATTACCCAATTTCATTAGGTCATCATAATCATTGTTTTAAGCCTCCAACATTGTTTTTTGCAATTCTAAATCTTGTTGTTCATGTTTACGTTGTTTTTCTGTCTTTTTGTTTTTATTTTGTGCTTGTTTTAAAACAAAAGAACCCAGTATATCTTTCAAAAGGAGTAGGATTTACCCCAGTGTACTGGTCCGTACAGCCCGTGTTGAGGACAAATTTGAGCAGCTGGTACCAGTCTACTGGGTAGCTCAGACATAAAGGGGGCCCATGGAGGAAATGTTTTTGAAACATGATCGTTCAGATTATAAAACCATGTTCTTGGCAATTATGCATGTGTAACGTTGTGAGAGGAGCTCAGAGTCACTGTAGGCTAAACTTTATTTTCCATAATTTTCTGATTTTTATTCCTTGGTACTCTCTCTTCATTTTATTAAATTTGTCTCTTATACGATCCCAGGGTGTTCGTGGAAATCCCATTTCGGCAAGATCGTCGGATACCTTTTGGAACAGTTGCTTATTCCCAGATCCTTTGCAGGTGTTTTGTGCTTCTATCTCCCTTCTACCCAAAACTTCAACTACACAATTCATTTCGACTGCACTCTATGTGCTTCCTCTGTCAGAACATGTTTCCGGCATTTTGTTTTATTCCAAAAAAATTAGGCCTACAGTATAAATTAATCAAGAGAACATTGGTACTGCCATACTGTTCACAAAATGTGTACATTGCGCTCCGGACGAATGTCAAAGCAGGTCAGGTCATGTCACTGAAGCCCGTCCAGTTATAACATACTATGCTCGGCACACATTCATACTTTATTCCAGGGTCGTCGTTCGAGAAAATTTTGTTCTGAGAACGTGGTTCAACTGGGTTCTCGCTAGAACATTTTGTGCTCGACATAAATTCCATTAGCACACGTTTAGACTACAAAAATTGACGTGTGCTGAGAACATTATGTGCCCAGAACATGTGATGAGAACACAGTCTGAATGCCCAGTGTGGTTACTGAACAGTACATGCTAGTCCACACCTCAAGTGTTCAAAACTTTGGTATAAAGCGCTATGTATATCAAACTACATTACATTATTGTTATAATTTTGTTCCCCGATTTTCATTTCAGATGCTAATACGGATTACATTATACGTGTTAGTGTGGTAAATGGCAACAGATCTGGAAATCCAGCAGTCCTTCATGTCACCACTAAAGATACGTTTTCAACCTCTGGTAAGAAAAAGTCAGTCAGAAAAAAATTATATAAATTTAAATATTTGTTATTTCATTTGTCCTGATGAGAATTGAGTGACCAATCCACTGGTGGCTTTTGCAGAACTGATTTAATTGGCTGAGCGCACACTGCATCCTTCAACGGTTGTATGACTGTCGGCTGACAAATCCATCCCTGTTCTCTTGAGCGCTTTATTACATAAACCTGTCTTCTGATTGGCTGTGACAAGTTGAAAAATGGATTGAATGATCATAATAAAACAATTATTGCGCGCACCTCGTCACGTTGCATTCTTCATGGAATTGTGTAGGCTGCAGTGTGTTCCCTGCTTTATTAGGTCTTACCAGTGGGGGCAGTAGAAACTTTTTTCTAGTAGAAACAAAATATGATGCCATGCTAGATAAGACTTGTCCTAGTTAAGTTAACGTATTCAAGTGAATTGCCAACACAGAAAGCGTGGATGAGTTAAAAGTAGCCAGTATGTTAAGCAGTAGGCGCATGCTCCCACTTTGAGCCGGCATGCCATTAATTTTTTGTTAAATGTTCTGTAAACCTCTATGTATTTGGTAAAATAATTGTCAAGCCCAAAAAAAGTAAACATTAGGACATGTTTTTACTTCCAAAAATTGTTCATGCTGGTAGATTTCTTGTTCAACATAATTCTTACCTTCACATTTGTTTGTTTCAATTCATTTCTCCACAGTTAATTCAAAAATACTGCCAGGACCAAGGGATATAATTTTTCAGTTTATTGATTACAATTTGATTGTTATTCAGTGGAAACCACCGGATACTGCGTTCCAAGTCAACAAGTATCGTCTGCGTTATCAGCCACTGAACATGGACTGGGAATACAAAGAGATCAATATAGATAGGTTAGTGTCATTCAAACTGCCTTGTGGTCTACAGCCAGGCACTCACTCCGCCGTGCAACGATCTTACGATGGTCGTACAATGAATCCAACTCTGGTTCTTGTAAACGCTAGACGATGCGATGTCGTCTGCTGATTGCCGGTGGCAGTGAGAACAGACCGTCATTAAAAACAATCCTTTGCGTCCGATTCGCCGCAAAAATATTAGTGGTGTAGTGCAAGATATCGCAAGTTCAGGCCATATGGACTAACAAGATTTTGATTTTTTTTTTTCTAGTGGAGAAGTCCTGCGGCTTACAATTACTAACCTCCAACCCTACACGTGGTACAAGCTAGGACTGCAAAGTATTGGTAATGGCATGGAATCGCAGTATGAGTATTACACTATTCAAACCAAAGCAGACAGTAAGTATTGTAGCTATGATAAGAGTAACTAGACTTAAATCAGTTAATAAATAAATTCAGTCATTCAAAGTACAATAAACTAGAGCAGTCACTCCGTAGAATGTATATCTCCGTCCTGAATAACAATATGCAGGTTGTGTATGATGGGTGAAACTGTAGCATACCCTCGATGAAATAATGATATTGCCCTCATATTCTGGGCACATTGTTTTCTTGAGCACTGCCTGAATACAAGGGACGCTTCCATTATTTTCTTTTATACTCGAGATAAAAAATAAAATTTCCATGCACTTGTCTTTAAACCTTTTCTTCCGAAAATTGAATGGTGTCTTTTTTCTTTGATTATTATGTACTATTTCACTAAATTTTATGATGGATCCATTCATTACTTTGTGCGCAATCTTGCTAACAGACAGAAATACAGATTAAGAGACAGCCGTGAATATATAACCTCATTGGAGAAGGTAATTAGAGTAACTGGCTTTTTAAAAAAATAGACTAAATATTATAAATGCAAAGTCATTTTGGATATTAAAGAAATGGACACAACTTCACATATAAATTATTGGTGACTGCTCTACTCAGAGCTTTTAAAGTACCTTTTACAAGAGGGTCAAAAAGATGTCTAACAAACAGTCTACAGCATTGAGTTTTAGCGCTCCATAATAGGGTGTATAGCCAACTCAGTGCTTTAGGCGACCGAGCTTCTTTTCTGAGAGCCTGGATTGTCTGCCTCCATTTATGATTACCTTATTAACATATTTAACAAAGTGATAAAATGCTATTTATTTAAATTTTATTCATTTGTTGCTTGATATGTGTTAAAACGGTGTTTGCGCATTTCTTTGAGGCATATGAAATTCTTTGTTCATTCTAGAACCACGAACACCACCCTCAGATTTCAAGGCAAAACCACTTGATGCGCATTCTGTGCAAATATCTTGGGAGCCACCTCAGAAGCCTAATGGCATTATCATCGAGTACATCATCTTATACAATATCAATATCACTTTGCCAGAAAAACATTGGGAAACCCAGCAGAGAAATGGTAATGAAAAGCTGAAACTTTTTACACCAGCATTAGTTGGAAGAGTTTTTTTTTTTTTTTTTTTGGAAAATAGTATTTAAACCTTATTTACATATGTGGCAAGCCAAACCAGTCACTTGTCGCAAATCGTGTTTCAGAGATAATGGCCAAACATGCTGAAATGTCAACATTTTTGAAATCTATTTTGTTGCACCAAACTAACCTTTATATATCTATACAAAATGACATGCTGTTATTTTCCCTATTTTCAATGTTAAAACAATTTTTAACAATTTGGTGATGGTTTCTGCCTAAGAAATGCCAGAAATCATAAACTTTGTAGGCTGATTTCTCAAATATTGTTCTTTAAACAACTGTATGTTTAAAACGTCATAAGGAAATGTCACATTTAAATGAATCTTTTACCATTTTATAGCTCTCATTTTCATCTTCAACCCTCTATTAATAACTAAAAATAATTTTTTTTTTTTGCGATAAGTGCCTGGTTTGGCTTGTCTTTGCTACATATGGTTTGACAAAATATGTAAAGGAAATATTATGATTTGTGAGAAGCCACCTGCACAATGCTGCAAAATCTGTGATATGTGCTGAGTATTACATACAATATTGATGAAAATTTTGTTTAAATTATTCTAAAGTGGTATAAAAATGACACAAGGGTCCCTGAGCTGCATCAACGTCTCATGATATGTAGGCCTTTGTAATATACTCCTAGATTGTTTCCTAGACCAATTTTACTAATGTTGAAATTTGTGCCCGCGAAATAGTTTGATAACAGATTTAATATTAATTTGGCTACTGAGACTCTGGTTAGTTAGCTCATGTTCTATTGTTACGTTAATAATAATAATAATAATAATAATAATAATAATAATAATAATAATAATAATAATAATAATAATAATAATAATAATAATTGTCAAACTATGTAGCGCATATTACTGAGACTTCTATGTGCTTCGCATTAATGCCCCCGGTCATTGGATCAAGCACATATGGAACACATACTCAAGTTCTGTAGGAGAATTCCATAATGTTGCAGCTGTAATCAGCGCATTTTTCTGTTTGAACCTACCAGGTACCCATTTGTACTACTGGGTGGAGGGAGACTACTGTAGGTAAAGTGCCTTCCCTAAAGGACACAAGCGAAATACACAGTGAGGAATTGACCTCTGACCTCTGACCTCAAGGTTGAGGAGCAAAACTGCTGCACTAAACCGCTCCTGGGGTTGGTTGTTTGTGTCCTTGGGCAAGACACTTTATTTACGATTGTTTCTCCACCCTGGAGTATCAGTGGATACCTCGTAGACTCTAATATCATTGACTGATTCTAGCAACTTATGGAATGGTACTCCCTAGAGAGATGAGGATCTCTTCCAGAAATGTTTAGTCCAGTGACCAGGGAAATAATATAAAGTGCGTAGATACATTTTATTGCAATGTGCGCTATATAAAATAGAGCATTAAAATTATAATGCCAGGTGAGTTCAAAATAATCCTACCAATATTGGATTGCCTATATTCTGCATGTTTAGGCTAGGGGCATCTTATATTAACAATCATCTTCATCATTTTCCTGTCTCTTTCTCTAGGTTCAGAGAAGGTCTCTAAGGTAAACAACCTCCGGCCCAATACCGAGTACTTTTTCCAGATGAAGGCCAAGAACCGCATTGGCGAGAGCCCAGCTACTGATGTTGTTTCTGCAAGGACATTAATTGATTCAGAACTTGGTAGGATTTTTCACACCTGGCATTTAATTGCATGGGTACACTGCTAAGCCTACCGTAATGCTGAGCAGCTTTCAAAACATAGTCAAAGTAAAGTCTAATTTTTGAAAATACAAAACAAAATAAACCGTACTACAAGAATCGTCAGGACCACCAGAAGTACCCCAACTTACTGGGTTTTACTTCAGTGTGATTTACACCAAAAATACTTCTATCTTGTACCGCTCTACTCCAAATATTTCTCATAACTACCAAAGTGAGTTCACATCACCACTGCCGAACGACACGGTTTCTTACCAACCTCTGCAAAAAGAATGCACTTTCCAATGATTTGCGAGATTAGGTCATATTAAAGGAAAGACTGAAATGTCATTTAAGAAATCATTGAAATCAAAGTAGTGAAGATTCACTCTGGGCTATGATCATTGTAATGCAGTAAATTTTTTCATTTGGTAGTTTTTGCCGCACGTCAACCTTAACTTTAACGTTAGTACCTAACATGCAGCGCGATAGCTCCGCCCCTTTTGCAAACAAATCAAAATACGCATGCGCAAACTCGTAACTAACATACGTTGAGCACGTAAAATCCTGAAATTAACGTACTCTGCAACGCAAGATGAATAAATTATGACGTCATCCGTTAAGGTTAAAGTCGTGCGGCGAAAACTACCTATTTATAATTTATTAAGTGTATGTTTATTCTTTGCTTTGTATGTACATAGGAATGTATCATGTTGTCTGTTATGTAATGTGTATGAAGAATGTTTTTTTGGGCTTTCAACTACTTTCCCTCCAAGCTAAAGCCGGGCACACACAACCGTCTGCAGACAAATCAATCTCTGCTCTCCGTGAATGTTTGACGCGACACTGTCTTTTGATTGTCAGTGGCAGTCTAAACAGATCACCATTAAAAACTGTTTTTTTGCGTGTGCACGGTTGCATTCTACGTGGAACCGCGTCATCTGACGACCGTCATCTGACGACTGTCAAGCGCAGTGAATGACCAGCCTTTGGTTGTACTAGAATGTCAAATTAGTAATATTATTATGTAACTGGTTTTTTGTAGGTGAATTGAATGCAGGTCGTCCAAGTATGATGGATGGTATCCTGCTCGGTATTGCCATCTCTGTTCCTTGTATTGTGGCTTGTATTATCTTTGTTGTCATGATGAAAAGGTCAGTGCCTTTACAAACACACATTTAATACATTGTACTAAAGGAAGTATGATAAAGTTGATTGTGGTAAACACCATTGGTCGCTCCTGAAACTTGCTGGAGGTCCACCATGTCTTGGAGTGTCCAAACCAAGAGTCCGGATTAAAACCATTGTCAGACCATAGGGCGAGAACTTGAATCCAGTCCAGACCATCAAATTTTATTTGATATGAGCACGTGACATGCCGAAATATGGTAGTGATGACATCAAATCATGACCATATATAGGCACATCATGAATATATACAACTATACAAGAGTTTTTGTCAAAGGAAATTTGATAGTGGCTGGTCAAAGCTTGATGGTTCAGAATAGTACAGTTTGTGCTACCAGAGTAGTAGAAATTCTATTCATAATGACTATGTACAATATAACCCACTGGCTGTTAGCATTTACTGACAATATCAGACTCTATTATGACTATATATTATAGACTGGTTGGCAATGGAAACAGGCAAGTTATGCGTCATCAGATTGAGAATATGAGGCGAGACAACGGTAGCCATCGCACCGCAGTGTCCGTCACCAGCGCACAAGCTAACATTCTTGTGAACTATAGGCATCGTATGTTTCAAAATGATAACCGAGTAAGCTTTTTTCAGGATCTATTTTTTTCATAACAGTGTTCTTACCTTGAATGAAAACATAATTGGCAGATTTGATATGAACTTGATTAAGGGACTGAAGACAAAATAGATAAACTTGTTTTTAAATGATAAATAAGGTAAATTTTGCAATAGTGTCTTATCAATGTGGCATGTCATATCATATATCATTTATTTCACCATTTAAAATTTACAAAAACAAACATAAAAATACAAAAATATAAACAACTCACCAGTACCGGGTAGGATTGCTCAAAAGAGGGCAATGTTCATCTGTCTGTGAGTGCTCCAGTACCAACTGGGGAAACTTAAATATTCAACAGAAAAGTTAAAATTATTAATTGCAAAGCAAAAATATACAGTATATACAAATATTATTATTACAATTAAAATCATTATTATGATTAAAGTCATTTTTTTAATTAAAATTAGAATTAGATTTGTTGGAAGCACACTGTAGCTTGAACCTTTTGATAAAATATTATAAATCTAATTGGCAGATCATGTTAGAAAAACAGAAATATTAAAATTACCATTTGCAAAGCACATATAAAACTATAATATAAAGATAGCATTAGTGTGTGGCTTCATTTTGGTTTAATAACAGACCCATTTTGATTCTGTGTTTCTGTATTGATGATTTCAGTGACTATTTTAAGTCTATACCTCCATTTTGATTCCTTCCATACATGCCTCTCTAATGATTTTAATGCCATGCAATTTTGATTTTGGAAATCCACATTCATCTACTATGAATTCATGCCTCCATTTTATTATTGATTAACTCCAATTTGATTTTATGCCTCTATTTTGATTCCATGTCTCAGCCTTTTATTTAATTTTATTTCTCGTGGTTTGCTTATGTACTGTAGCTAGTGCTCAGCGTAAAATCTGAATTTTGATTATGTTTTATAGCAATTTGGAAACATCAACGGTCATGCAGGAAATATGAACAATGATCATGAAGACGACGAAGAGGTCCCACTTAGTGTCCGCCTCCTTTCCGGAGAGTTTGATAATGATCCCCAACTTCATGAAGAACCTGCACAGGAGGATGACTCTATGCTACCAAGTACAAGTGAGTCTGCACAGATGGGTGACCCTATGCTAGCAAGTGCAAGTGAGCCTGCACAGGAAAAGGACCCTATGCTACCCAGAGTAGGTATGAATACTGCAGATGCAGGAATAGAAGATGTAAAGAATGATCCCCAAGATTCTTTATTGATGGCCAAGTCTTTGAACATAATAGAGGGGGTGCAGACAGATGATGAGTCCAGCTTGGAAATGCAGACTACAACAGAAGTTGGTGTAGATATTTCATCAGGTGGAAAGGCAAATACATCCGTCTGAATAGTTATAAGAACTAATCATTCTTCTAATTTCTCTATTTTTGTTAAATTCTGTCATTAATATATTGTATTATAATTGAATACTTATGTAAGTAAACCCAGGGTGTGTTTTATCTACATCAGGGTTGATATTTTTGTTCATTTATCATGGTGTCATTTCTTTTAAATTTTGTAAAACTGTGACAAGAGACTACTTCAAAAAGTATTAATTGTAGTTTTTATTGTAAATGGTATCGATGGTCAAGAAACCAAACCAAATTTACCTCATTTTCTTGTCAGGAGTTCAGTTTATGATGAGTGTGTGTTAGGATAAGCAACCTAACCTGATTCTATATTTTTATAAAGGCCATGTAATAATAAGGTTGGTTGCCATTTTTTCTTCAATGAGTAGAGAATGAGGTGGTCTTAGAAAATACCGCCAGTGTTTACATTCTATTTGTTACAGTCATGACTTTTTAAGCCATACAAATGGCCTAGGTTTTCGCTGAAGGAAATGCTTTTTTTCTGGTCATTAATTAGGAAGTGGACAACCAACAATTTTGTTACATGGCCAAATTCTGTGTTTTTACCGTAATTTTTTTTTTATTTTCTTGTTATGGGATGATATATCATTAATATTTTTCAGTAATAATAATAATTTTATAGATGTTATATCAAATTTTGAATTGATATGGTATTTTGGGTTTTTGTTGATAGATTTTTAAAATTTCAATTTTTATGACTGCTATGATTTTTTATTAAGAACTTTATTATGATATTGGTTATATATAGATGCCAATTGTATATTCTACCTCAAAAAGAGAAAAAAATTCGCTCAAGAGCTGTTCCTTGTGTCTAAGATCAAAAGTGTTCAAGGTAATGGTCATGGTCACTATCATTCTAGAAATATTCGTAAGGTGAGACATTTACTATACCCTGTTTCACACCACCCACCGATTTTGCCTGTTTGGCCTTACAGCACTCTGACTGTTGTACAAAATTTAAGTTTCAGATAAACAAGTTTCCTAATTTTTTTTAAATTCAAAAAGCATTTTCAGCCTAATTACTGAATCGTTTCGTATTTGTATTCTTTATACAACAATGCAATGAGATCTAAAGCTAGGGCCAAAAGGTGCATTTATTTTTAAACAAGGTATAAAAAAGGTTTTACCTAACCAGTGATAATAATTTAAAAATGAACTAGCATATATTAATTTTTTGGTAATATTCATAATCTCACTTTAAAGAAATTTTGTTCACGAGTCTAGAGTTCACAGTTGATTTCTATCAATGATATCTCAAGATATTGGACATATAGTTTCCCCATGAAAGGAATTTTAGTGTTATATACTTTATTACATAACATTTGTTTGCTGCAGTGCATGATGGGTGAATTAGATGTACACTGGTTCTATGTTTGTGCTTACAATTTCTGACTGTTAGCTACTATGCACTTGTAAAACAACCATGCAACAACTAAAATTAAAAATATCCTCACTAAGATAACAGCTAAGATAATACCATCAATTGTTTTTATATAAATGATGACAGTTACTGTAACTTTTTTTAAATTGGGAGAAAGGAATTTATAGTCATTGAATAGATACTGCTTTCACCCATAATGTTCTGCAGTAAACTGCACAAATTTTAAAATTAAAGTTAAATTAATAGTTAAATTTCTTGGTAGATTTTCATGGTTTGTTTTATTCTATTCAATCAATCAGTTAGGTTGTAAAGTACCATTGCAACAGTATTAGCACATGGAACCTTATCAAGATCTGATTGAATGCGAGTTTGAACCAGGATTGCGTGACATCATTGCCGCCTCCTGGTTACTCAATATTCTTATGACTGAAAAGACAATAACTTTCAGACAGAAAATGTTTACCTCTTAATACTTTAATACCTCTTCATTGTTGACCAGAATTTTAATGATGGTTCTTCTAAGTCAGGATACATTTTTATCTCTTAATCCTTGAACACAAAAGAACATCAGGATAGTTTCTCAAATTATTTCTCAGGGCTTCTCAGTTTGTGAGAAACGTTCTCCATTGATTGATCTTAAGTGTTTGTAAATGTAAACATTTTTACGGGTTTTTAGATATACTAGTTTCCTGAAGAAAAAATTGTGAATGAAAAAAGTGGTCATTTGTTAACAATGTCAGGATTTTAAATACAAAAAAAGAAGGAGAACATCCTATGTATAATATTATCTCGCTTTTACTACCTCATTTTAAAAATTTGGATCTCAAATAGAATTGTTGGGTGTTATATTTAAAAACAATTCTGACCAATGAAATGTGATTTCTTATATACAAACCTAATTGGTTTGTCGCTGTAAGTATTATCCGTACAGAAATGTGTATCAAACGCTTACAGAGCCATTGTTATATGCTAGAGTTTTATTCATGGATTTTATGTAGTTTTAATAATTTGTTTCTTAAACAAATTTGTTTGTTAATTAAACTTCATGATATGGAAGTTTTGCAATCAAAAATCACCATTCAAGATAGCAAGGTAATTATGTGAAAAGAGATGCATTTAGCAAAGTTGGTCTTGATTGTATTACTGCACAAATTACCCCAGATGGGACAGTTGATGTGCAGTCCCCTGTGCACCACTTGAGAGTTTTTGCTTCCTGCATTGATTTAAGAGAGTTCTGGGAATTACTTCAACTCTTGTGGAAGTACATTCCATTGAGGGATTTTGCAAAGATAAATGGATTGTCAGTAACAGATCATACAAACTCTACATTTTATAACCAAGAATTAGTAAATAAGATCTGATGGTCTGATGTATTTTTGCAATCAGTAACAAAATCAATGCATTTTTATAGCAATCATCGGTTCCACAATGTTACTCATATAGTGCACAACTGTTGGTTGGCAGTTGGTATCTTGTTCTTGACATGTTTATTTTATAGCAAAACATCTATTATCATTATATCTACCGGTATTATATCTATTCTCTGTAGAAGGTGAAGGATTGTACTATATTATGATCATCATGCCATCCCACTGGAACTGACTTGGAACTTTTTATTGTTTCAAAAAGGAATGGTCAGAGTTTTATTTTATCCTCATCCAACAACATGAGTAATTGGTCGCTTACAAAATTAAATTAATAATTTGTAAATTTGTTTTTAATTCATTCACCATAAGCTAGGCCTAAAAACCACTTGTTACTAAAGGAGTTTTATTATATTTATAAGCCATGAAATGCTTGCAACCAGCATGAGCCACTTCACAGCCCGTCAACGATGCAAGTGGGTTATCTAAGCATCGCTGGCCAAGCATGGTCATTGGGTGATTTGAACTCCTGACCAGTTCAATAAACTGAGATTCATTTTGAGGTTTAGGTAGTGAAGCTGAAAAAAATACCCTTGTTTGATGATTGAATCCAGTATCTAGGGATTAGAAGATGATTTTTAACCACTGAGCTACATGTTTATTTTTAGTTCTGTGGTCCAGGAAGGCAAGCATCTTACCACCATGCCAAATGATTCATTTTAATATCACAATCTCATTCCCTTCATAAAGGTTCTTGTAATGCTATTCACTCTCAGGATTGAAAGTGTAATGTGTGTAAATAGTTGAATACTTTGAACAAACACATGCAATGGTGCTCAACACACTCAGAGGAGGTGTTTCAGACCCACCAGATAATACTGATGAAAAGGTCAAACAAAAATTATGTTGTCTAAACCCCACCGATTAGAAATCTTAAACCTATGATCTGATTTTTTTTGTAAAAAAACTCAAAATGTATGTATGATGTTTCAAAAGGAAAATTTTCAAGCCAGTAAATTTGATACCTTACCGTAACCTGGATTTTAACCATGTGGCTACCATTTTATCAACCAAAATGCATGGGGTGAGTGATACTGGCTTTGAACCTATAATATGCGTAGACTAATAGTAACAAAAAATTCCTTTTTATTTTTGTTTAAAATTTAAAAGAGAAACATATTTTGGTTTTCATTTGGCCTCATTTAAAATGGGTGTACATTATTGGCTTGGTTTAATCATATGGTTCAGATATAGTTAAGAAGTAATATATTTAAGTATGTAAGTAGTTTAAGGTGCTGTAGTGTTAAGGTTTGGAAAACAAACTCGATACTTTTCGCTGGAACCTGTTGAACGTTTAAGTTAAGGGTCTCAGAAGGGTTAAGACTTGAGCATGACTTTCAGTTTCTTGTATTTTTTACTAAAAATCCACCACTACTCTAAAAGGGTTACCGATGTAAAGTAATATCATGAAAAATCGCCCAATTAATCTAAAAATATCACGTGTCGTTAAATCATTTCATTAACGTTTGATAATTTCTATTTTAGTTAAAATGTTCATAAATTTGGTGCATATAACCGTGCGTTTCACTTCATTATACCTCTAACATTGATTTTATTTGTTTAGTATATGAGATTTTACTAGCGAGTGTTGGTTTATATAATTATATATATATATATATACATATATATATTATATATATATACATACATATATATAATAGATTAACCATCATTTTTAATTTCTTGCTGAAAATAGCTTTAAGTACATATTGGAGACATATAAGATAATTTTTCTATTTTCCCTTTATCATTCTGTGGCAGCAACTTTTCAAATTTTACCTTCTGTTTGATCTTCACAAATTTACATCTTCCTGCCTAGAACCACTGAATTGATTACTGTATTCTATCACTCTCAGGACCATTACCACTCACACTGTTCACCCAACCTACTGGTCTGTTCACTTCAACCTACTGTCTGTTCACTTCAACCTACTGGTCTGTTCACTTCAAACTACTTGTCTGTTCACTTCAACTTACTAGTCTGTTGACTTCAACCTACTGGTCTGTTCACTTCAACCTACTGGTCTGTTCACTTCAAACTACTGGTCTGTTCACTTCAACCTACTTGTCTGTTCACTTGAACCTACTGGTCTGTTCACTTCATATTACTGGTCTGTTCACTTGAACCTACTGGTCTGTTCACTTCATATTACTGGTCTGTTCACTTCGACCTACTGGTCTGTTCACTTCGACCTACTGGTCTGTTCACTTCGACCTACTGGTCTGTTCACTTCGACCTACTGGTCTGTTCACTTCGACCTACTGGTCTGTTCACTTGTTAATGAATCTCACCTTTACTAATGTTTAAAGAATGTTTTAAGAATTTGCTCATGGATTTATCTACCTCTTAAACGTTAAGTTGCTTTTTTTGATCATTTTTAACCTTTAAATACTTCCTTCCATTGTAATAAAATTTGCAAGTTTCCTTTTCTAGAGTTTTACATTCAAATGTATTATTAATGTGTTTTTCTACATGTTCAACGTTGAATTATAGTTTTGTATAGGATATACCTCTAGAAGAAGAATAATTTTGTTCTGGTAATTAAGAATGAATGCTGATTATTCCTTGTAAATTTAATATTGATAAAATCAAATTTAGTTTAGATTTCATCACCATTGCAGCTCTTTTAAAACAGGATAGAACCCTGTATTACACATTCAGCGATTTATGTAAGCACTTCATTTAGCTAAGTGGTTGAGTAGTTGGTATATTTAAAAGCATGCCGGTAAAGGGGAGGAGGCTGGTAGGGGGAGGATGCACCCTCCCAACATTTTTAAACCTATTATTTCACTGAAATCATTCCCAATTATTGCCAGCTTTTCTAACCGTTTAGATCAGCTCCAGTGATTGCAGATTGATCCATATAAACAAAAACTATGTTATAATTATGTAGGACTATAGATGTGATGGACATAAAATGTTAATTCTCCAGGGCCCTAACAACACCAAAATGAAAAGAAATTAAATAGAAATTTTCACAAATTAAGGCCCTCAAAGTGCTACTTTGACCTACCGTGGGCTCTCCGCTAGGACCCATGTGGCCCCTCGAATAAGGTTCATTTTGCTTGCAAATACATCCCCCTCCCCCATCAAAAATCCAGCCTACAACCTGCTAGACTACTGAAAACCATGTGTGCAGAGCAATGCAGATAGTGTAATCATGGGTTTGAGATCTGTATTTTTTGTCTTGCCTTGCCTTTTAATCATTGCAGCTTTTTCAAAATTCGTAGCTTCAAAAGCATGTTGATGTTTTTTCCAACTTCAAAAGTGACTGATTTTGATGTTTTTCTTCAAATTTTGATTGATTTATAATGGATCTCCAGCCAACGGCTTAACAGTTTTAAGTCCTTGCTCCAGCGTCCTTAATTATTATATGTTGGTTCCAGATAGAAATTGATCTAGCAGAAAATGCTAGTGGGAGGCATAGCTTTGAATGAATGTGTAAACAAACTTTATATACTGTATTTAACATTAGACCAAAAAGGTATAGCAACTCCACTATCTTGTGGATTAAATAATTATGAGAAGAGGGGATATTTTTTTTTGTAAAAACTTCATGGATGGGATCTCATCTCTCTATAGTTAGTTCCTTCCCCTTCCCCCAAAACTTTCTTCACATGTAATTTGTCATTGTGGATAAAATTCACCTTGTGCCGTTTATTATGCTGATGGGAACATCATTCTCATTAGAACCGACTAAGCAAGTAATGGACAGCAAACTTTAATGTTGTTACCATGCAGTTATGTCTCCAAGAAAGAGTCATATAATGTGTGTTTTTCAATATGTCCACTGTTAATATGGCTCATAAGATATTATTGTTAATTATGTTTACATGATTTTTATGAATTTGGTTTACAAGATTATCAATTTACAAAATACAATAAAATGGTGATAATGTGGTTTACATGATTATGAATGTGAATTGTTTTTTGTTCATGCTTATTATCAATATTTATAAGATTATTGTTAATTTCTGGATAACATGATTATCAATGTTAATTTATTTTACAAAATTCTCAATGTAAATCTGATTTACCATGTTATTTGTCTAAATACCAATATTGGCAAAATGTAGTTTATGAGATTGTCAAAGTTAATTTTAGATTATATATTGTTCATCATCAGGTTTACAATATAACTAATGATAATCTAGTTTACAAACTGTTCAATCTTAATCTGGTTTTCATGAATATTATCCAACATTAATCTGCCTTCAGAATATCTATTGTAAATCCTACTTGCCACAGATATCGAAAATGAATCTGGTTTATACAAAAGTATTAAATATTATTCTGACTCTAAATAATTTCAGTTTCATCAACTAGTCGTAACTGATGACAGTGTTTTTTATTAGACAAAGCTAATCACATGTGATTGTGATTTCTTATGTTGGTAATCTCTTAATCTCTTCCTTATCAGTAAATCTATATTTTAATCATGCGATAAAATGGCAGTGATGATCAGTGAATGTTAAGGTGATTATAGTCCAAGACTTTGAGTAATAAGTACTATCTTAGCACTTTGATAGTGGTTATTGTTAATGAATATAACCTGATATACGTGATTATTGTTATTGGAGGTAATATATTTAAGATCATTAAACTATCAACAGTTGAACAATTTTTATGTTATGCTGGTTTATTGTTCTTCAGTTTCCAATTGATTATTGTTAAAATTATGATTTGGTGAATTTCAATTTTCGTATCCCGTGGCTCTGGTAAAATGACAAATAAATTACAGGTACTCAGTTTTAGAAGTAACGATGTGAATCAGTGACCTTTACTAAGAGACAGCGTTCGTTTTTAAAAAAATATTCATGCAACCCTCATCAGACTTGCTGTTTTCTTTGTAAGTGATCGTTGTTATCTATAGTTTTTCTAAATTTGAACACACGGAACTTTACATCAGCAACAATAGCAGAAAACAGTCAACTGCATTACCAATCAAAACAACTAGCAGCAATGACAACAGCACCAGAAAATGAAACAACAAAAGTAGCAGAAGAAACACTTGAAAAATATTTAAAAAGCAACATCAGTAGCAGCAAAAAAAAGTAGGAATAACATCATCATCAGCCACAGCGACATCAACATTGCCAGCAACAGCAAACTACGAAAGCCTATTAGGCCTAATAGGCTTTCGTAGCTAACACAAAAGCAGCAACAACAATATCAGCAGCATCAGTAGACAAAGCACAGCGTGATAAACAAAATAGTAACAGTAGATGCAACAAAATCAACATGAACAGTAAAGTTGCAGCAAAGGCAGTAGTGACACAAACGGCAGGGACAACACTAGCAACAGCAGCAACTAAAACTACATCAACGACAGCAATATTAAATGCAACAACAAAAACTACAAAGCAGCACAACAAGCAGCATCAGGAGCAATAACAACAGAAACTAAACAACAGTAGCAGCCGTAAAACCAACTGAACATCAACAGAATTGGCCACAACAGAAGTTGCAACAACAAAAACCGCAATAACAGCCAAACAAAAAACAAACAAAAATCACTAGCTGGAGCAACACCAACAACAAAATTTGAAGCATGCTCCTTTCACACATGCACTAAGAAGGAGCATAGTATGAGGCCCAACTAATTCCAATATTAGGCCTACAAACCAATCCAAAATAGGCCTTTTTCTTTTTCTTTATTTTCCGGCATACATTTATTAGATTAGATGCTGCTCACTCAAGTTCCTGAGATTGAGCTGGTTGGGCGCCGCACCTTAAATCGCTGCTGTAGGGCACAGTTGCAGTCATACTGTTCTGCACTACAAATATCAACTGTGTATTTCCAAGGTCAACCTATTATAGTTAAAAGTTTCGAATAAAATAAACTTTTGAAATAATAATTGTAAATAATGCACAAACTGCTGTTAAAAAAGAGCTACTGGGCCGAAATCTTCAATTATGAAGTTGGCCCATAAGAAGAGGAAGAAGACGATTTTTCAAAAGTTGAAAAATTCTTAAATGATCAGTCGAATTTTATTGGGGCGCCGTCAAGGTGTGTTACGGCAGTAGTGCGACGACATTCTTACGAATATACGGCATCGTTAAGATCTGTCACGACGTACGAATTACAGTAGGCCTACCAAGATTTTATTACCACGTCACTGCCTACGATTTTGCAAGACGCCAGCACGACGACGTCAATATTACAAGACAAAAAGGATGTAATTGGCTGTCTATCGCTATAGTTCTTGATATTTTACCATGTTAATAAACAAAAAAAAAACAAAAAAAAACAAAAAACAAAAAAACAAAACAAAAAAACCTGCAATATATGCAAGCTTGTAGGCTACTTTATATGGAACGCCAAAAGGACAAATTACAAGTGGCGCAGTGCAAAAGTCAAGTGGCACAGTGCAAAACTAAAGTGGTGGCACATGCATTTTGAGTTTGCAGTGCAAAAGTCAAGTGGCACAGTGCTAAAGTCAAGTGGCGCAGTGCAAAACTAAATTTGCATTTCTATGTTTTTTTTTTTTTTTTTTTTTTTTTTTTTTTATAAATTGTTAAGGTTTTGTTTTAACTTCCAACATCAATTCTCATTATATCGATGAAGAAAATCCCCTATGTTCTGTTTTACAGTCTATTTGTTATTATTATCTCTGCCAGGTTTCAGTCGTGTAAGTTGGTGTGTGTGTGTGTGTGTGTGTCACATTTTTGTGTTTTGTATGCACAGATATAACTAAATGCAAGTAACAGGAGTGTTAGTATGACTCAATGATGGTGACGGTCCGGAGTAGGGTGTGGATGTGAGGACCATTTAAAGGGATTTAAGAGCAAATATTCTACACCAGATATTTAAAAAACGTGTCAACTTATCTGAACGAAAGTTTCGTGAAAATTTAACCAAGTTACAAGGAAGAAATGATTAAGTGTTGGTGACGATCCAAATTCAGGTGTGAACTTGAGGGTCATTTAAAATCCTAAGGTCCCAGACCTAAATTTCTCTAGAAGTAATCAATGGATCTAAATGACACTACGCATATTAGTTTGTCTTGTGTCGATGAAGAATGTCTAAATGTTGGTGGCCATCCAGAGTAGTGTGTGGATATGAGGACCATTCAATGGAAAACGTCCCAGACCAGATATTTCAGAAACTAATTAACAGCTGATCTTAATGAAACTTTCGTGAAAGTTTAACCAAGTTACAAGGAAGAAATTATGAAGTGTTGGTGACGATCCGAATTCGGGTGTGCATTTGAGGGCCATTAGGTCCCAGACCTAAATATCTCTAAAATGGGTCAATGAATCAAAATGACACTTTCCAGAATAGTTAGTCATGTTTTAATGAATAAGTGTTTAAATTTTGGTCACGATCCGAAGTAGGGTGTGGAGATGAGGACCATTTAAAGAATATGTTTACAGTATTACCGTGACAGAAACAATATTTATGTGATGAATATTTAAATTAGTGCAATTACAGTAAATGCGTTCAGCGTTTTTTATGTACTACCTCCACTCTTGTTATTATTATTATTATTATTTAAAAATTACTATTATTAATGTAAGTACAGTATTATTATAAAACAATTCTTAGACCTGTAAATGTTTGGATCCTTCAAAAATTCCAGCTTCGAATATAAATTCAATTTCCATTTTTATTTGTTAACTTCTCCGAACGGAAGGAATGATACTTACAGTATCATTATGAATGAACCATATTTACAAGAAATTCGGTTAGCGTTATATTGACGACGTCGTGTGTACTTTGATGATACGTGGTAAATGTAAAATAACGCACTTATTTCATCATACAATGTAACTATGATTATCTTTGACCTTTATATGAGTCTTTTGACCGTGTTGATAGTAATATCGATCAGCATAATATGTTTAATTAATTCTGGTTTTAATTCGGACATGCAAACGTGTTTCATTAATCGTTGCGGATTCATCTGCTGTATACCATCCGTTCGCAGTGCTGTACTTTATTTTATTTATTTATTTATTCAACAATATTTCGAGAGGGTGACCCATTCAGCGTGAGCTGATTTTAAGGGGCCCTCGACAATACACGAACATATTTACGAAAAACAAACATCAACAAGTTAAAATATTATTTACAAAAAAAATTTGAGATGATAACATTCTATAAAATACAAAGGGAAAACAATCATTTTAAAAGTAGATAGAAAAAAAGATTAAATTGTACTATTATAAAAGAAATAACTTTTTAATTTAGTTTTAAAATTGGAAAATGTGCTAGAGTTTCTTATAGAGACGTCAAGTGAGTTAAAATATTTGGGACCTTTATATTTAAAAGAATGTTTAAAAAGTTCGCATTGTGGTCTTGGAACGACAAGGTTCCCCCTTGAAATTTGTCTTGTGGACATTTTACCATTTACAGTAATTCTGGCAAGTCCGCGACAGATTTTAGCAGGGGCAAGATTGTTGGAAGCTCGGAAGACCAGGCAGCCAGTTTGAAAATCAGCACGTTGGGAAATAGTAAGAGTGGAGATAGTGTTAAAGAGTTGAATAGTATAGGGGTAGTGTAAGGAATTTGAAGGATGGTCCGAAGGGCTCTGTTTTGCAGTTTTTGAATTTTAGAAATGTGGCTAGGTTTTGAACCCCACACAGTA